ATATATAACATAATTTGCACATAATCAACTAATTACAGTAAAATAAATGAACATTTTCATTTGCTTATACCACTGCGCTATTAATTGCAACTCTGCTCCTGTGGCGGCGCCATGTTTGTCCGACAGGCGGCCGATTCCCCCGAAGAGAGCGTAAATAGGGGGGGGGGAGTGACGTCACCAGAACATTTTAGAGGCGGTCCAGTGGGTTAAGCTCCGACAATTTAAGAATCTGAAAGGCATACTTAACCGACTTTTATGCAATACATTTACAATTTTTCTCTTTGACGGGGGTGGGGCACTCCCGCCCGCCCCGGCAGCACCACTGTCCCGCTTGGTTCAATGGACCTTTCCGCTAAGCCCCGCCCATTGGATATTGTTGCTAAGGTCCCACAAGACGACAATGTTAAAATATACGCAAACACGTGCGTTTGTGGGACAACACGTGTGTTTGTGAGACGCGCGCGTATTCCTAGCGTTGTTCTGATTAGTCAGTTGTTAAGTTTGATTGACACTCCGGAAAGGTCTATTATGATGGCGATTAACCATGATTGTTAAAAGTGCCTATTTATAGTCTGCATGAATTCATACATAATACAGGTAAATGATATTAAAGATATTATTCAACATTCTAAATCCAAATTTATTTCAAAAAAGGTTCAGCTATAGTAATTTCATGATCGATAATTGTAATTCAGAGCCCCTTTCCATTATTCTATCAACCCCAGCCTTGAATTTTGACTTTCACGTACTTATCCGTGAATAACAGCCTATGTGCTAGAGATTATAAATTATCTTCACTCAATGATCTGGTTATGACAATCGTCCAGCGTCTTACTCTTTCAAGACGATCTGAATACGTTGGTTACCTGTGGCAACCAACGTAAAACAACCCTCTCGCAAGGGAAAAACACAAACTGTTTCATTATTATAATCTAATGAGCACCACTCTAGAGGAGAAAACTGACAACAGGTATCTTGGCATACTTCCAGAATGACCCCCGCTGGATTAATCAGACACGGCAGCTTCTAGCAAATCCACCAAAATACTAGATTTTATTTACAGAAACTTTAACCATTGTGCAATACCACTGCAGGAACTCCTATATTTTACACTAGTCTAGCCTACGCATCCGGAGACTCCACACAAGAAAAAACACATAGATAGGCCTAAATCGAGCGAGTAAAACACGTGCAGCGAGATTCCTATACAGGACATGGCAAACCATCACATCCTAAATAACTACCGTATACTTCACAATCCAAACCAGACGGAAATGCTGTTTGACCTGATCTCCACAAAATGAGACTGAAAATCTTCAGGCATATCTAGGAGGCGTATCCAGGAGTATTGAAGTGGGGGTGCTGATGGCGGAGCTCAGGGGTGGGCTCGATGATCAGCTGAGGGAGCTCCAATTCGAGAAATAAGTTTATTTTAAGTGATTTTTAACTAATTGACCTTTACTTTTTTTCTTATACGACACTGGTCAGAAACAGCAGAAAATATCCCTTTCAATTTTAAAGACCACATGCAGCTTCATTGAGACATACTTCATACTTCATCGGATAACTGTTGACTGAAATTTGTTGTTAATAGACACAATGACCCAGCCATAGTTAGCTTTAGAAAGCTTGGTCAAATCTCTGAGCATTCGAAGGAAATCATGCACGCTGCAAATCAGTACTTTTTTCTCAATATTTCTATATGTTTTAGTTTATTAAAATATTATATGGACTATCAATCATAAACGTATTTTAAATATTATAACAAATGGTTTTATTTCCGTAGTGCATCTTTAAAAATACTAATACTCTTATATTTACAACACTGCAAAATGATTTGCTCAACCGACTAACCAATAAATACAAATAACTCATTAAATATATTATACTACCACACAAAATCCAAATCCTCGAAATTGTAAATATATCTTTATATTGCTCATAAAAAGGAGTCAATATATGTTACAAACTTTCAATAAATTGCAGATTGAAGAAAAAAACTGTTTTCTATGAATTACAGACGTTTTACTAATTTAAAATTTAAAACCAAGGCTATAGGAAGTTATTTACCAGTCTGTTATTGGCGAAACAAATTTTAATTTTCATTTGAAAGTTTATAAAAATAACTTTTTAAAATTGGAAATACGATTTTTCGAAATTTTGTTATATTTATGTGACAGTATATCCTTCAGCTAAAGAAGCATGTGCGCATTATACACTTGTATACGCATGCGCATTATACCTTTATATACATTCCATTTGAACCTTAATTTATGAAATTATTACAACCTTTATAAAATACAAGATTTTGTTGTTTATTGCCCTCATCAATTTTAAATATATTTATTTAAGACATCTAGTGTACGTCAAATTTAGGTTTCTTTTGTTAGATCTGGGTGGTTATGATTTAGAATATGTTATGTTTTCTTTTCAGTGTAATCTATTGGTTGAATAAATGTTTCTAGAAGCCAGTACTTAATATGTTGTTACACCTTATATTAAAAAAATGTACGGCAAGAATTGAAAATGAATCGTCATACCTATACAAACAATAATAGATAATTACAAAATGTATACCATAAACTTAGACAAGTTCCATTATTAGTCATTATCTAGACTAGCAGCCTCGGCAAGCAGCAAGACTCAGGACACAATTCAATGTGGACTCAACGGACCTATCCGCCTTGGCTATTGGTACTTAAAGTCCCACGTAACTACAAAGTAAATGACGCACAAAAACACATGTGACATCATGTGTTTTTGTGGGGCAAGCGAGTGTCCTTAGTCCTGCTGTGATTGGAAAGTTATTAAATTTGATTGCCATTCCGGAAAAGGTCTTTCTTACACTAAAAACTGATTCGTTTTGAAAGACAAGAACTAAAAACATGTTTTTGTGTTGTTTATCTATTAAGGGGATGGTCCATCTACCAAATGCTATAATTTGACATCTTCAAGACAAACGCCAAACGTAACCTTCTGACTACCAGCCTAGTCACTGGGTTCGTTTCGTTGACATCGATATTAGTATTATTTTCATTTGACTGATTCGTAAAGTGGTAAAATTAACGTAAACCAGAGTGCGTTAATTTGTAATAAGTTATCCACGTGACCAAAATCAACATGGCGATTGGTCAGTTTAGCAACAACGTTTGCATTAATATAATTTAGATACATTTTTTAAATTAATAATTATAATATTTACCCACATAAAGTCAAAAAATTATTGTAGACTAACAGAATATAAAACTGCATGAACATTTTTTTTAACGAAAAACCCACACTGCCACAAGCCGAAGCAACCTTCATTACGCTAGCGTGTATAGCGGTCGTTTGTCGAGTATTTACCAGTTTTTGATTCGTCTGTCTTCGTTAAGGCCCCATATAAATAATTATAGTTTATCACCCCTCCCTCATCACTTTTGGGGAAACTCTGATTTTTTTTTTCAAACAATATAGGCCTATATTTTAATTTCAAACGGTCGTTTTTCCACCTTTTTTCACTTGAAAAGCTCAGAATTTCTTGAAAATATGTTGATTCGATTCTTATGACTTTTTATGGGGCCTAGTGCACGGCAGGCGTGGTTTAACGAGGAACGACCAGGCAGAATGCGGCCTATGATATCATTACAATACTAATGATAAATTATTCATCTGATATTTAGTTGTACTTATCAATGTAGGCCTAAGTTATACAATATATGCATAAAAATTTTGATTAAAATGCAATGAAATATGTATTGAACAAATTGCAAGTAGAATTAACGTAAGTTATAGGCCTATTATATAAAGTTGTAATTTCTTTACCAACATGTATTAGTACAGTTATCTACTGTAGTTGTCATTATTTGTAACCAAACACACCATTGATAATTCAACGTCTTTTAGTTTGCCTCTGTCAGTTTGACATCTGTAATAAAATAGTAGTAATGATGATAATAATGATAATAATAATAATAATAATAAATAATGAAAATAATAATAATAATTATAATAACAATAATAATAATAATTAATAATCAAACAATAAACAGAGCATTTGCATTTGTTATAATAATAAAATGTTATATTTTTATAACGTAAAATATTAATAATAATGATAATAATAATAATAATAATAATAGCAATAATAATAATAATAATAATAATAATAATAATAATAATAATAATAATCTTATTAATAACCATTAATAAGCCTAATAACAAGGTCCCCAACAACATCACCACAAACAATAACAATGATAATAACAATTATGCTGGTAAGTTTGACATTGGATCATGGGGAAATCCAGTCGCTTATTTTTGGGTAAGGAGTGACTAATTAATCACCGTAGCAAAATAAATCTGTAAATCTGCGAAAACCTAATTATGTTTTTTTCTGTATTTTATTTAAAGAGGAATAAATTATTTTTAATGGATTTCTCTCACTACACCATGTAATCACATGATATTTTTTATCTATTATGCATGCGAAATAAACAATATCATGAAAAAAAGCTACCCGGAAGGAAAATACACTTTTACTCAAGATCTTTAATTAATGTAGGGCTATTCCTATAACCAGTGATAAATAATTGGTTCTTCAAGTACGTAATTTAATCTATACATTATTTTGAGGATAATGTCAACATTAATTTTTATAAAAGCCTATTATATTGGTTACTTACTTGATACATCTTGAACTTTCCCTTTCTGTTTCTCTCTATCCAAAAATAATTTTTAAAATAGATTAATATATTTGCTTTTTCTTAAAGATCGTATTCGACAAACAGACGAAAGAAATATATACATCAATTATCATAGGAGTAATGTTTTGCCATACCTGACGTGCTACCGTACCGAATATACTCGGTACGTTCCCAACTACTTACGAAAAATACGAAAAAAAATTCGGGTAAGAATCGAACTCACGCCCTCTATCAGTGATGGCGCCAGGACCTGCTCGACGGAGGGGCTAAAGGCCCCGACGGGGGAGGGGGATAGTGGAATATTGTTGTTGTTGTTGTTGTAATGAAAAGTTAACAAATAGTTTAATGAAAACAATATGGTGGCTAAACGAACATTACATGTAATTTTTTTTCTTTGTTTGTTCCCCGACAAAATTTACTCGTCTTCCCCGACGCGGGGGCTATAGCCCCCCAGCCCGCCTAGCTTGGTGTCATAACCACTAGACCACCAAGCTTGCGCTTAGTGACAAGTAGCAGCAGGTACGATAACACGTCAGGTAGGTCACAAAATCACTCCTGACGCAAACACATATCATAATAGCATTTGCAGTACCTGTGCTTGAGGACCGGATTCAATACTAGTCACTAAGCGCAAGGTCGGTTGCGTTGTGGTTATAACAACAGGTTAGTTATCTAGATGTCGTGGGTTCGATTCCCACCCGCGACTACCTGATTCGTCACGTAAGGAAAAACATCCCTCCTATGATATATGATATGATGCAAACACACATCAAAATTACATCAATTATTACTATCATATTACATATGATTAATAAACATAAAAACGATAAATATAAAAATTAAACTTACCTATAAACAAAGAAAGCTACAGCCAAAACTAAAGCAGTGACAGCAATAACCCCAATGATTATTCCAGCTATGGCCCCATCGGACATTCCTCCACCATCTTTGTCTTCTTGTTCTTCGACTAATACCTCGCCCCTCTTTACTCCGGCAATTTGGACTCCGGTTGCTGTTTGAATATCTTCCTTGTTATTTACAATAGCAGTGTAGAGGGCCTCCTGATCAAGGTACACTGTACAATTACGTAATAGCAAATATTTGTTATCATTCATAATAACGATATGTTATTTTTTAGAATTTCTACATTTACCATTATCATCATTGCTATAATCAACATACTCACTATCATTCTTATTTACTTATTGAACATTTGTATTATTACATTATTACAGAAAAACAGCAAATTTTATATTTAGTACATTGTCAGCTGTTTTTAAATAGTAGATGTTTACATATTGAGGGTGGAACGGGAGCGTACGGAACCACTGCACAACCTGAAAATTGGCAGGAAGACAAAACAATATACGACAAGATATGATATGATAAATTATACCCCTCCTCAACGTCATCAATATTACCATTATTACCATCAACATCATCAATATCATTACGATCTAAAATGCATCACTCGCTCTTATCATCATCGGTTGTATCAGACAAGTGAACTTTATAATTAAGACCTCTACCCCACACGAGAATAGACAGACTTAAAAAAAGAAAGAAAATCGTAATCAAATAAATGTACCTTGGGTATCCCTCTTCATTCGATGTTGTATCAATTGGTTGATATCACGTCGCTTGCGTTTGGCCGTTCCTGCTTCACAGAGTGCGTTATTTCTTTGCGGTCGAACGAAAATCAAAGTGACGCACGTCGACGAATCAATACTTTTTGGATATCCATCCCCAGTAAAAATATCATCTGTGCCGACGTAGTTGAGATCACCCTCTCTATGTACGGTATACATTTAAGAGAAATATAACAAGTACACGTTATATATATTTTATTTTATCTATTGAGACGCCACCATATATACAATAGTATGTACAATTATATATATACATATATATATATATATATATATATATATAATATATATTGTGTATATATTATACAGTATATATATATTGTGTATATAAATATAGATACATATATATATCTGTCTCTTATACACATCTAGATGTGTATAAGAGACAGCACATACATACATACTGTAGGCATACATTCATATATCAACACTCGTTTTACAAATTTGTCTGTATCTTGGATGTAAAAATGCAAATTCTATAATTATTCTCACAACTAATAACACGTCTCTTAGCCTTACAAAGAGGCTTAAGTTATAGAGCATCAAAACGATTCCGTAATTAGTCAGTGTACGAGAAAAAAATAAATGAATTTTATTATAAAAAAAGAAAACTTTACACACGTACCTCAATCTGTTTCCACTGTTTGGGCAGCAACGACCATACTCGGCGGCACTGTTGCAAAATTTGTTAACGATACTTGCTACAGACTGGAGTAACGATGATACTATACGTTCCCACTGTGACGAGTGAATTTAAATAATATCATTATGACAAGTGGAAATAATTCTAGAATAATCGGGTTTCCATTGGACCAGCTCATAGCGCTTATAGGGTTATCTCTTGTTCTCATTTTGTGTGTTTTTATGTAGTTTTTGTTTTACTATTATAATAATGAGGGCAATAAAAAATAAACAAACAAACAAACAAACAAAGCATTGATATCAAGAATTTCTTTTTACCTCATAATTACAAGTCAGACAGGCATGTTTACACTATGACGATAACAATCAACGATTAAAAGCTAAAACGCAATTGTTCATATAGAAAATAAAATAAATAAAAGAAGTTTTCAAACTAGCACGATTCTATAACGATTTATCATGTATACGATAAGAACACATTTTCACAAATCAAATCAAATGGCGTCATAATCATGGAAAAACGATAAATTCGTAGTAGTAAAAACGATTTTATCGTTTTTCCATGATTATGACGGCATTTGATTTGATTTGTGAAATTATCTTTCTATCGTATACCACGATAAACCTTTATCGAATCGTGCTAGTGTGAAAACTTCTCTTATTTCTTTTATTTTCGTATAGAACATCCAAATGAAAATATGTATTTCTAGACGTGGTAATAACCAATTTTATGTAACTCACCGCAGTAATGGAGGTGGACATGGTGATTTCTACACCGTTCCTCACTTGTTCTTTACTTTCTGTAACATAATACACAATATTTTGGTGTGTGTGTGTGTTTGCAATCTATACGGTACAAATGTTTTCCTGTATACCGACAAGGTGTTTTAACAATGTTAATAAAGTTTAGTCTCGCTATATTAATGCGCGCTAAGGCATCTTGCAATATCCCTCCTAATGAAAACATCTGTAATTCATTTAATTTAATTTCACATAAAACATAAACAACAACACAACCAATGATAATTACAAATACTGTCTGGGAAAGTTATATTGAAATGTACATGATACACATATGTGGTTAGTTTATGAATGAAGATGGTTACGCCTATTTACCTTCACAGGTAGCCCCTTGGTATCCACTCGGGCATGCGCATTTGCATGTACTGGTGTCAAATGTCCCGTCATTTTGGCATTCCTTCTCTGTACACTGGTTCCCTCCTACATAAGAGGTATAAATTATACATACTTATTTTACCTTTATAAAAACAGATAATGTTTACAAGTCATTGGACCACATAAGTAGCCATAGAGGCAACAAATCACGTTTAAGTCGTAGCTACATTGTTGATCACTCAGTGCGTCGTTCGACCATCGGTGAGCGTAAGCCGGGCACTCACTGCGTCATACGACGACTCAAACTCTGCTTCCTGTACACTTGACGACACGTGACATCGTCTGTTGATTGTCAGTGGGCAGTCTGAACTACCGTCATTAAAAACGCGTCGTGGCGTTGCGTTCTCCATAGAATCGCGTTGGCCGACCACACTCGGGCGCAGTGGATGCCCGGTTTCAAACTAAATGTCAAATTATAAAAACTAGGAACATTTTTTAATGGTTCAAATCTAACTAGCAACATTTATTCAAAAATTACATTAATGTCACAAACAAGCACACAGCGACCACCAAGACAAAATACAAAGAACGCATCATATAAGATGGAAATATCATTTATTAAATTACGAAAATGTACACATTAAAGGAAGGGTGGGGAATTGTGGACTGTATTTAATTGGAGACCACCCACAATAAATCGATTCTACAGACCTTGTGTTTTAGTTTTTAGTTTTTTATTTGGATATTACAGTTACACACATCCAAAATGATGATGCATCCAAAAGAAAAAAAAATCAACAGAAAATTGAAAAGAAAATAATTACGAAAATCATTACAGAACTAAAGGTTCGGTAAATAAAGAAAAATGACAACGCTCCATCATACAAATTCATTAAAAATAATAATTTAAAAAAAAATAATAATAAAAAAAAAATAAATAAATAAAAAATTAATAATAATAATAATGCTGTAATGACATTAATAATAATAATAATAATAATAATAATAATAATAATAATAATAATAATAATAATAACAATAAGCAAATATCGGTGGTACTTAGGTAATAATGTTCTTATAGATATTTGATCTCAAATTCCATGCAGGGAGTTAGTCCAGTGGCCGTATTCGACTGGTCATTCTACGTTAATCCACACCCACCTGCGCAGCAGTAAAATCCTGCTTAGCGAAGATGACCATTCGAATAGAAAACTTGTAAATACTCGACAAAACACAATGGTTGCATAGTCACCGCGATACACGCTGCGTAATCAAGATTGCTTCAGATTGTGGACGTATGGGTTTTTTGTAAAAAAAAAAAAAAAAAAAAATTCATCCAGTTTTTGTATCCTACAATTATTTTTTTACTTCATTTGGGTGAATATTATAATTTTTATTTTCTGAAAATTAATCTAAATTACACTAACACAAATATTTCTAAACTCCCCAATCGGCCATGTTTGTTTTGGTCACGTGGATAACTTAACGCTGATTAACGCACTCTGGCTTACGTTAATTTTCGTTGACAACGTCTATTTTACGAACCAGTCGAATAAAAATAATACTCAACGAAAAAACGTAGTCAACGAAATGAACTAGTCGAATACGCCCAATGTATAAGTCATGGTTACGTAGATCTCTTTCCAATTCAGAAAATTGGAATCTGATTAGTTTTAATTTAGAACATTCAAAGAGAAAGCGATCTACTGTTTCTTTATGGTTTCCTTCACAAATGAGACAAAGGCCTGTATTGTTAACATTTACAGGCAGTTTGTACGAGCTTTAAATTTTTGGTTAGTTCCCTTAAAGTTGGTCCTATCGAATAAGTACTACACCAATTTTAGTTCGCCTTTATATTGTCTATAATTGGTTAAGAACTTTTTAAGTTTCGCTCGTTCGAACCAGCTCCTGTTATCATTAAATATATTTTGTATTTTGAAATCTTTCAACCATCCGCTTTGACTACATACTGTACATATTATGTACATCGCAATTAAGAAGACATTGTTTAATCTTATTAAGCATTGCCGTTTTAAATCACCATCAAGTGCTTTGCACTCTGCCACCTGCACTCTGCATATTTAGAACACAGCGATAATGTGACACACTATAATAATTTTGGAGTGAATCAAGCGACTGTCATCCAAGTTCGCCTCTTTTGATTAGTTCAATTTCACATCATAATAATTAAGTAAGTTAATATTATTAGGTCTACATGCCTAGATAATTGCATAAATGTTAATTAGCAATAGTTTATGTGCATATTTTAATAAAATTAATAAGGCCACGTGGGGTCATCATGAATATAATAAATGTCGTTGATACTAAAGTCAGTGTGATCAAATTTCCTCCAGTATTAGGCCTATCACAAAAACAAGAACTAAAATGCTAGGCTGGTTATTGTATTATTATATTTATTGCTTATTATTACTATTAAAATAATTATTATACTTATATTAGGCCCTATCTTTTTTTATTTTTACAGATTCTGCAGAAGTACTGTGTAATAAGCTAATGACGAATTGAACCTTGTGGGCCAGTGAAACCATGCAAAGGGCGATCATGCTTGTAGAAGAGGGGAGATTAGTCTAATTAACTAACTAATTTGAAAATTGTAAATATTTAGGTTTTTGTCACTTCATGGTGTCGGTGGCAATATGGTAAAGCAAGCAAGTGTTCATTAAATTTAATAGTTAATTATGTTTTCGTATATTGTTTTAAAGTCTGTCAGAAGTCTATAAGTATACTTATTAATGTGAAATGTTATAACGTACCAAATTGTTTTTATATCACAATACATCAAGAAAAAGTACTGTCTTACACCAGTAGTATTCGTGGACACATGAACCCGGTGTCATTAACGCTCGTTAGCTAATTGAATAATAATCTGATAACCTGGAATCATGCATGTAATTAAATACCAATAATAAAGATAAAACTTTCAGGTGTATAACTTACTCCATTATTTTTTAATTTATGCAAATGTGCTTAAAGGTCCACAATTCTCCACCCCTACCAATGTATAATACGGTAATGTAAAAAGGGGTCAGCTTATAATCACATTTTATTGAAAACAAACGTATCGATTGTTGTAATAAACATACGAGTAAAACAGCATGAGTCAAAACACACTACTGACCCCGAGAAATATATCTCATTGATTAAATACAACATATACCAGTAAACCTCTTTGTAACAGGGTGTGGCTTTTTTGTGACATAAATGTATTTTTATCGTTCCTCAAAAAAATTATTTATATAAAATGGGCGTAGGTTACCTCCAGGTGGTGTTGTTGGGTTATTTCCTTCAACAATGTTATCTGTAAAATGTAATAATTGCGAGAGGTTGCAGGTTGAAATTCCGCCAGAGATAGAATAAAAAAAAAGAAAAAAAAAAACAAAAACAAAAAAAACATAAAATAATATCGTTCCTCAAAAAAAATTATTTATATAAAATGGGCGTAGGTTACCTGCAGGTGGTGTTGTTGGGTTATTTCCTTCAACATTGTTATCTGTAAAATGTAATAATAGCGAGAGGTTGCAGGTTGAAATTCCGCCAGAGACAGCAATTTTTATAAAATACATAAAATAATATCGTTCCTCAAAAAAAATTATTTATATAAAATGGGCGTAGGTTACCTCCAGGTGGTGTTGTTAGTCATAAAATGCTTAAAATAATGTCAAACCATAAAAACCAGGAACATTTTTAATGGTTAAACATTAAATCTACAGCATTGCCAGTAGGTCTACAGAATTAGAATTAGATCAAGTAGCATATAATGTTACGATAATTACAGACAATGGTGATACAAAGGCATATGCAATGCGCACGCGTACTAAATGTCAAACCATAAAAAAACTAGGAACATTTGTTTTTATGTTTTAACATTTAGCCTACAGCATTGCCAGTAAGTCTACAGCATTTGACCAAGTATAATGTTGTTACTATAACTACAGACAACGGCAATACGTATACAATGCGCGTAAGTTACCTCCAAGTGTTGTTGTTGGGTCTTTAACAACATCATCTGCAAAATGTAATAATAACAATAATATATCATCGTTATCGTCATCGTCATCACCATCATCATGGTCATCATTATCATTCATTCATTCATTTCTGGATTATAATTCCTAAAACATTCATCATATTTTCTTATTATGTTCATAAAAAAATCATCAACTTTTTCATATTCATCATATTTATCATCACCTCCTCCTCCTCCTCCTCCTCCCCATCATCATCATCATCATCATCATCATCATCTTCATCATCATTTTCATCATCATCGTCGTCATCTTCATCATCATTTTCATCATCATCATCATCATCTATTATTATTATTGTTATTAATATTATTTATTATTATTATTGTTGTTGTTATTGTTAGTCCCTTTAACAGAGGCTTATGGCGATCATTTTTCCTCTGCTATATAGTATAATTACTATTACTGGGTCTATAACGAGTTCGTAAGTGCAACTGTAACATGTAATAAGCGTCACGTACCACATTCGAAGTCGGCGGGCGCAGGTGCTTTAAAAGGTAAACATACAAAAACAATGTGTCAGTTACAATGATGTATTGAGCCTTTCTGATATAAACTAGCAAATTGAATTATGGTTTAAAAAAAGCACAATTATATCTACAAATGGTAATGAATCCACTCAATACGTGAAAATACAGCTTATTAGAGGTAATAATATTCTCGTCATTTTTCGTTTTTGCTGTTCGGTACCGATTGTTTGAGAGTTTATTATTTTATCATTATGTACCGTGCTTTCTCCTTTTTGGAGCTTTTTAAAAATAAATTCAAAATGTTCTTATGTTGTATTTTGAATAGTAACTTACAGCATTCGTCGCACATGAGTGGGCATCCTTCCCGAACGTAACTGTATCCACTACACTGCCCACGATACCAGCCAGCATTACAATAGCTACTTCTGTCTTCGCATTCAGCTGTTAAATATAAGCAAGTCTACTGTAAAAAACAGCGTGGAGGATTAATACGCAAAGTTCTACGCAATTTTGTCCTGCCTTTGAAGACACGTGTAAAAGCTAAACGTATTCAGACATACTTTAATGTGCTTAGGATCTTGATTTACTTATAATTAAATGTGTTTAGTTATTATTTTTTTTGACAATGATTGGTTGGTTGATTGATTGGATTTATTCGATGCTCAACATGCGCAAACAAGGAAAGTCTTATTGAGCACCAGGAACGCCCAATAGGTCGGAGTCCAGCCCATTTCCAATGGGGTCCAAGATTGCACATTAAAAAATTACATTTAAAATCATTAATATTTAAAATTTAAAATAGATATAAAAATAGGATATACAAATAAAGCTGACATAAAAAATACAGATAGGCCCTACAGAATTGCACATAATTAAAAATTTTTAAAAGCTTTAAAAGTTTCATCAAGAACATCATCATGTTTAATGTTCTCCTGTTTTAAGTTCATTTCAACACGGGTTTATTCCAGGTAGGTCAATTCAAACTAATCTTGCTAGTTTTTACCCACCGCACTTAATGCAATCAACTCTAAATTACAATGTGACATTATATTCACAAATTTTTCCAAAGCTTTTAACTGCATTTCCCATTCTCAACTTATTTTTAAAATTCAAAAATTTGGTATCACCGGTCCCCTTCTTAGCTTAATTTCTGATTATTTCTATAATCGCAGTCAACGTGTGGTTATTGACAGTTTTTGTTCTAAATCCAAACCCCTATCCATCTGGCGTCCCCCAAGGGTCTGTCCTTGGTCCTTTGTTTTTTAATTTATTCATTAATGATCTTCCTTATTTTGTCAATAACTCACATTGCCTTATATACGCTGATGATCTGAAGCTGTATCGCATTGTCGGGACCGAGGGTGGTGCCAGGGTTCTTCAGGAAGATCTTGATGCTGTTGTTGCATGGAGTCGGCACTGGGGTCTTTCTCTCAATGTCTCCAAATGTAAATCAATGTCTGTTTCTCTTAAATTAAAACCTTTATATTTTCCTTATAAAATTGGGGATATTGTTATAGAAAAAGTTTCTGTTCATAGCGATCTGGGTGTCTTCATCGACTGTAAGCTTACATTTTGTAAACATATTGATCATCTTATTCGTAAGGGAAACAGAATGCTTGGGTTCATTTGGAGACATTGCAGAGAAATAAATAGCCCTGGTGCCATTATTGCCTTATATCGTTATTTAGTTACTTCTCATTTTAAATATTGCTGTGTTATTTTAGTTCTGCATCCGAATCTCAGTTAATTTGCATCGATAGGATGCATCTTAAGTTTATTAGGTTTTTTGAAAAATGTTTTAATCGCCCTTGTAAATTAATGTGTCCTAGGAATAGATTTTTATTTCACGATATGGTTTTTTTCTATACAGTTGTTAACTCGTACTTTAGTTGTGATTTTGTACATCTGTTTGGTTTGCATGTTAATTCTAGAAGCCTTCGTTCCTGCCCTACCTTTAATGTCCCCTTTTGTAGAGTTGATGTCTGTAAACGTAGTTTTATTTCTAGACTTTCTCTTCAATATAATTCTCTTATTTTAGCCTCTAATATTGACATTTTTCACAATAGTTTGTCTATATTTCGTTCTATTATTATTAATCATTTGAATAGATGAGATTTTTGTACTCTTTCGTCTATATATTTGATATATTTAAATTTTATATATTTTACCAGCCTGTTAGTGGCGATGATTCGCTGTTGGTCTGTTGAAATGAAATAAATATTCTTTGATTTTTATACGGATTTAAAGAAGCTTCTGTGGAATTTGTTTGCTGTAGGTGTGCGTGATACTACAAGGTCAAAGGTCAATCGTGGCATTAATTCGACAAATTGCATTGGTTTAACTAAAAAAACAAATTAGAAAAGTAGAACCTAAGTCGTATATGTGTAGGCATATCATCAGTTTTACTTTAAATACTAAATTGGATTTGATTAGATTTATTCGGTGTGAACACCGAGGATAGCCCACGAAAGTCTAGAAGAAGACTTATTATTTCCAGTGGGGTCCTTCTGGACCTCCCGTATTATCTGTTCGCCCTTTCACTCACCACACCTCAACTATCGGACATTTGACTTGTCATGCTATCAAGCACGCACGCACCCACCCGCAGCAAAAAAAAAATTTTAAAACAACAAAATATTGTAACAGAAATTTCCCCCTCCTCCAGCACCACTCCAACCACCACATTCCCCACCACACCTCCTTTCCAATAGATACTCGCCCAACGGCTCACCGCACCCCAAATTATATTTCTACAAATTAATTTGTATCAATCAAAAAACCATAAAAGTATAGAAGGAAACACTTTGTAATAAAGCCCGTCTCACTTTGTAATAATTTGTTTTATCATTCTATACTTTTATCAATTGAAAAACCATGAAAGTATAGAATGAAACAAGTTATTACAAGGTGAGACAGGCTTTATTACAAAATGTGACAGCTCAGTTTATTACAAAGTGCGACAGCTCCGTTGTTACAAAGTGCAACAGCATTTATTATAAAGTGCGACATGTTATTACAAAGTGAGACAAGTTTGTTACAAGGTACAAGGTTACAAGGTGCGACAGGTATTTCAAAGTGCGACGATTAGGCCTACTACAATACACGTGTCACCAAAGACAGGACAAAATTGCGTGGAGTTTAGCATTTAAACCCTTCATACTGCTTTTACAGTGTACATAAAATAATTATACTAAACATTAAAGAGGCACTTTTGGATAATTTTTATTTATTTCAACAACTCATGGTCAGATATAAAACAATTTATACGGTATTTATTCGAATAAACGCTCCGCTTTGAATAAACGTCCCCTCCAAAGCCTCATTAAAATATAAACGCCTCCCCCAAATGACTAAATAAAAGTAATGGAAGCAACATCATTCTCAACACATTCTATTAATATTCTACTTCAGTAGAATTACATTTTATTCTAACCTGGTTAAGTTAGGATCAATAATCTTTAGGCTATGTTAACACAATAACACATTTTGATGGTAATTATGCGTTTATGGTAGTTCCACATTCACAGTGAAAATAAGGGGTGTTTATTTGAATATCATTATACGATTATCTATTTTGCACAACAAAAAAAAATTAAACGCCATCCTCGAAAAAACGCCTTCCTCGAATAAACTCCCCCCTTAATATTACTAATAGATAACACAAAAGTCATGAAACTGTCTATAAAAATTGTTGTTATTTGGAAAATCCTCTGTTGCCAAGAAGTTGATACATAGTCTGGTAGTAGGAATATAAATAAGCAGTTTCGTCAGTTCGTTATAGACAAATTATCCAGGGTAAAAATTATTTGTTTTATCCTCCATCCTAGTACTACAGGATCCTGTTGTAACACTGGTCATTTAAACTCTCATTCAAGCATGTTCCTATCCAGTTAGTCAACCACTATGACATGTAGTATGAACAGATAATAGGGAGCTATCGATTTGTGCGACGACGTGACGCTAGAACGGAATCATTCATTCGTGACCGTCCTGGCGTCCTATGTTCTCTGCATACGTATATTTGGCCAAATTGCGTTCCAGAGTCTACTCGACGAGTGACCATAACGTTCTTGCATGCGCAGATGACTTTTAGTGACGTCATTACGTTCTACGTCCTACCGTCGTTGTGCAATCGAAAGCCCCTTATTGTCAATTCGGGTTTTACTTTAACTAGAGTTGCAACATGAAACAACTCTTAAAACAATGAACAATTACAATAGTAATGTTTTGAAATAAACATTCCTTTGATGTGTATATTTTTTTAAGAAGTCTACGGTACATCAGAAGTGCTTGGTTGTTTTATTTTATCATAAACGCTGCATTATTGTTGTTTTAGTGAGGTATTAGGAAGGTTTCACACGTTTACGAAAACGATAACGAATACAGTTACGTCATCAAATGTGTAGTCAATCCATCCCCTACAGTAGCATATCTGTCACAACGTAGAAAAATACCTTTATGAGTAAACGATCAAAATCAGCTAGTATATGTATTGTCAAGAATGTTGTAAGCACAAATGACGATAATGATGATGACGTATTCGTATTCGTTATCGTTTTCGTAAGGTTGCGATATCTCGAACCGTAAGGTTGCGAAATTACCTGAACAATCGTCCAATATGAAACCTGGCTGGCAGTCACAGCGACATGACGTAGTATTCAAAGTTCCACAATTTCGACATTGCTGGTTGCAAACTGGAAAAATAAATACAGTAACAAGCACAATGTAGGTCTATTAAGATTGGTTTCCATAAAATCGCTATACCCTGTCGCCGACAGCTTTCGGCGATGTTGATTGGTCGGTCGAATCGATGAGCCTTCCCGATTGCGTCAGGGACAGCTACGCAGTACAGCGATTGTACTGAAAACGCTGTAGCGACAGTGTAGCGATTTTAAGGAAACCAGACTGGCGCCTTTTTACGAAGATATATCGTTACCAAAAGAAGACTGCTGGAAAAATTTTCCTAAAATTTAAGATGTTTAAAAATTCTACTAAAAGCTCTGCTTTGCAGTCAGGCGTTTAAATACTAGTGTCGTTTATTGTTTCTATTTGACCTCAACTGAAGCTCGCTGAAGACTGCCACAACAGTCAGAAACTCATTTCTCTGAATGATATAAAAACTGAATTAAATTTTTCGTAAGATAAATAATTGAAAAGAAGAGTAACGCTAAAAGTGAGCTTTCGATTCGAGACGACAGTAAGTCTAAACGCCGGACACTCACTGCATCGTACAGCGAATGCAATTCCGCTCCCTGGGAGCGCTAAACGACGCAACACCGTCTGCTGATTGCTAAGGTCCCACAAGACGGCAGTGTTAAAACTAATAGCTTTATGGTTAAAACATACGCGAACACGTGCGTCTGTGGGACAACACGGGTGTTTGTAAGACGCACGCGCAATCCTAGCGCTGTTCTGATTGGTAAGTTGTTAAGTTTGATTGACACTCCGGAAAGGTATATTCCGTTATGCAGACATCTAAATTGAAAGCTCTATTTAGCAACTGTATTCCTAAAGGTTTACGAAAGACACTTACTACACTCTTCATTGTGATCTTCGCACAAACCTGTTAAGAATACAAGTACAGTGATAACGATTATCATGTCATAAATCATTATATTATATTCATCACAAACACATTAATATATGCCTACAATACATAATAATTTATACAGCGATGTCGCTACCGCAAAGGAGATAACTTGGATTAAAAATGATGGAACGAGGCAGGAATTGAAATGAGACGCATCGTTAGTGAAATCATATTGAGATATTCACCAAAGTACGTCAAAGTCAAAATTTTTACAAAATTTAGATTTTAATGTTTTCAAATAATTTGATACTTCTATGCCTATTATTTGTACAGGTTAGTTTATCTTTGATGGTGATTTTTTAAAAACGTGGTTCTCATACAACTAAACTTCAGATGCTCACATCTCTGGATCTACTGATCAGGGAAGCCATTCAAATACCAAATTATAGCTTATAATGTGATCTACCCATATATAATATAAACTCAGTTTTTTATTTTCTAATTATACGACTCATTTTGTGAGTAAGGCGCATGTGTTAGTAGGAGAGCGATCATAAAACTATTGATATTAAAAACGGATACAAACTTACTTCAAAGGAGAGGATAAAAATATTAACAATTTGACTTAAAACGGTAATTAAAAGAAACAGCATCAAAATGGATATTGTATTACATCACATCATATACTTATATTATGCAACAAACATATAAATCAAAAGCGGAGGGGAAAAATATTGATTTTATACGTTTATGAAATGCGTGTTTCAATTTTGACAAAAAAGAAAAAATCACTTGTTTAGTAGAATGAAAATTATGCTTAAGGCCCTAGATTTTCCAAGCCTTTCCACCAGAGTGTTTCTAAACACTTTCTACGAAGAAGAAAAATATTACAACAGAATACTATTAGATATTCGGATTATTCCTCCTTCGAAAGATACAAATGTAGAGTATACGTACGGCATAAGTTGTTATAGCACTGCCCGGAACCAGAGGAACACTGAGTACAGTTTGGTCCGCTAAGGTATGGATGTCTGTTGTAATTCCCACTACAAAAAGTGTAAGTGTTTATATTATTTATTAGGTAGTTGTCGCCGTAGGACGTTAACCTTAACTTTAACGTTAGTATACTCAGCATGCAACGCGAACTCCGCCAAGTTTTGTAAACAAATCTAAATACGCATGCGCAAACCCGTAACTAACGTCCGTCGAGCACGTAAAATCCTGAAAATAACGTACTCCGCAACGCAAGATGAATAAATTATGACGTCAACCGTTAACATTAAGGTCGTGCGGCGAAAACTCCATAATATGACCGACTTTCACTTAGCACAACAGTTGGTTCACATTACTCAATACTAAATAGTATTAAATAATAAAACTTTTTTTTAATACTAAAAATTTTTATATGAATACAAATTCATATGGCGCCTTTCAAATTCCGAAATTCCTATACAATTAATGCGCCTGGTCATTGGATACCTAGTTGGCAAACCAGCACATTTTGTGCAACTTTCTCTGCGGGGAGTATCTCTAGTCATGCTTTACACAACCACAACAAGATAAAATATATTTTAAGCCTATAAATATAGGCCTACCATGTTACTTTCATGTGCACTTCAACCTCTTTGAATTGCTATATTATGTTGGCCTATTTTTTGCCTTTTTTACATAGGCCTATTCATCCTAAAATATGCCTTGCCATTTGTGTGTGTGTGTTTTTTTTAAATATGTTTGTAGTTTTAGAAGTTCCATTGTTTCTATTGCTGCAATATATCTTGATACTGTCTTTTGCATCTTTTGATGTGTTGTATGCTACACAATGTCCCTCCCTCCCTCCCTCATGTGCAATTTCTTGATGGCCCACTTTCAGTGGCATCCCATAAGTTAAGTAATGTTTCCATACAAATCAGTAAAGACCTCTATCTATGCCCTTTTGTAAGGTTCAGAGCAATTGAGTTTTCTATTAAAATAATACTCAAAGTTAAGATTTGTCTGTTTTTCATTTATATATCATGGCGTACGCAAGCAAAAAAAATACGTAATAATGTTCGCGTTTGCGCAAACGCGTTAAGAGATTGCTCTAATCCAATTTGAACCAAAAATTTAACAATCTGTAGCGTAGTCGCGTCGTCTTCAACTGAAAAAGACAACTGAAATTTCGCAGACTTTAAAATCGATAATACGTCACACCTTGTTTTTTCTGTTATTCTTTATCGTTTTCAGAAGGTTTACAACATCCTAATTTATAAATTATTGATTTTCAGCCCCTTTGTTATGTTGTCATGGACGTAAATTACAAACTCAGTCCTAGAAATAATATACATAAATGCAAATCCTCAAGTACTACCTCAATTTATTCGATCTTGTAAAATATAAGACTAACGGAAGCGTATTAACATCAGTTAAAAAATGACCGTTTTAATCAAATAATTTAATTGTGGGCGTGCGCTAGTTTAAGTTATCCACCCGAGCTTAGTACGGTGCAGCTAGGCGTTGGGCCTCTGTGAAGACGAATACAACTGCGCTTAAGCTTTGTTGTCTTTGTGTCAAATTTAAAATTGCTTGTGTTAACCAAGCTTTATTTAGCACTTTCTTTATATATATTCTTTATTTGGAAGCTACACTTTTACAACAGTGGCACACGTAGAAAACGGTGCGTCCAAGGAAAATATAAGAAAACAAACAAAATCAAAACATGACAAATCAAAAGTAAAAGTAAATGA